GAATCATAGGGGGCAGTGTGATTTATATCTCAACTCCATGAAATTTGAAGACAAAATACTATATTAATATTGTACCCTGTAAATCTTTTCTCGCATTAGCAGCCTCTGGTGCAGTTTGCCAAGGAAGCATTGCCATATGTGCTGATGGAGCTGAACTAAAATGAGAAGATTAGAAAACTAACCACACTAATAAATTTCATTTGAGGCAGTTGGAAAATAGACTACTGTTTTGATAAGTTAAAAACAACACACACATCCATCCTCTGTTTCTAATGGTTAAAATGAATTCCCAGAATCCTACAGAAGCATCTTACATTAGAAGCCTAATTTTTCTGCCGAGTTACCCAGATGTCAAACATATATGTGCTTTAGACTTCAATGTAATCACGTTGAGTGCCTCAAGAAGCCTGGCTGTTTTAGGCATTACTGAGCCATGTTAACCTGCCTCCCTCTGAGGTCAAGGAACCACGAGGATTATTGAAGTTCCCACCTCTGTGACTTCATTGTCCCACAGATCATGACCCCTCTCAAAGGCCATTTACTCAGGATGAATGATGACAAGGCCCACTTCTATAATGGCGCTCGGATTGTCACCCAGAGCTATCTTTATTTCCTTACTTTAGCCAGGGTAGTCACCACAAGAATGGTCTTTCTCCAGTAGCTCCCTGAGTGCCACGTCTGGCCTGGGTCTTAGGAATGGATTTATACTTTGGTTTTATTCCTAGTGAGTTGAAGTTATTCAGTTAAAATGGTGAAACTTGGGGCCTCTGATTATTTTACTTTAACCTCCTAATTACTCTCCCAGCTGTGGGTCTCCGCCTTTATTATCTGTCCTTCACCTGCCTCTAGAACGTTTTACTTTTAAACTCACTCTTTACTTTAAAAGCCACCCCATGCATCTACAGAAAGTGGTCCAAGTTCTTTAGTGTGGCCTGGGAGGGAAGCAGTGCAGTGTCCCAGGTGGGAGCACCTCTACAGCCAGACTACCTGGGTTGAACCCCATCCACCATCACTCAGCCAAATGACCTTGGGCAGGCTCCTTGAGGTCTGCCTCAGTTTCTTCATCTCTTGATGGCAACAAAAATAACATGCACTGATTTATTGGTATTGACCTGTCGTTGTGTGGATTAAAGGTGTTAGTTCACATAAAGCGCAGAGAATAGTGCCCGGCATGCAGTAAGTGCCCCCAAATACTGGATGTCGTCATTATAACTGCTACTGTTATTTATTACAAGGCCTGCGATCTAACCACAGCCTGCAGTGATATGGCCTAAACGTGCCATCATCTTGAGACGTTTGTGCCTTTGCAGACACTGTTCCCTCTACCTGAACCACCTTGCCTTCCGTTCTAGTCGTGTCTCTCTTCCCCAGTGAATCTCTGCTTATCCTTAAAGATCCAGGTCAAGGATCTCCTCTTCTTTGATGCTTTTCTCCCTCCTGCAGGCAGAACGAGTGCTTCTCTCCACTGTGTTCCCATAGTACTCCTGGGCTATGGTATTCACCACGATGTTTTTAGGTAGTTTGTCCCCTTTCTGGCACACAGAGACACCTAGGGTTCCCTTTTCTTCTAAACTGAGAATTTCTCCAAGGGACGGCACAGATCTGACTGTGTTCATTCCAATTTCTTCCACTACCAGGCACATACGTCATTTGGTAAATGTTTGCTGAACAAATAAATATTTGCTGCCCTATATTTAGTCTTAAATATGTGGTTTTTCCTTTTGTTTTGTTTTTCTGCTGTTCACAGTGCATTACTAAATTTATAGCGAGAAAGAAATCCCAATAGCTTAAAAGGCTGGCTGAAGTGATTGTATCTAACACTGTCGTTGTTTGGCTCTGTGGGCTGTTTTTTATTAGTCATTTAAAAAGACTGTCACAGGGTAGTTACAGAGACAAGAGATCATCATTTAAATCACAGTGCTTTCAACCCATCCATGGTTTCGGTCTACAATTTAATGATGAGAAAAATACATCTAGCAAGTAAATATTTAACTAAACATTTTGGCACTTGACCTGAATGCTGAGAGTACAATGGAAATTGTAAACGTTAAGATGTCATTTAAACAGCTTATCCCCTCATTTTATTAGTACAAATTAATGTACTTTCATACGATAATAATAAAGCCTTTCTTGTAATATTATAGATATGACATTGTCTCATTATATGGTATAAGTAAGTAAAAGATTAATAAGCGAGTGTAGTTAAGGAGGAGAGAATGCTTGCTTTGAATAAGGCCGCTTACTTTGCCCAGATAGTTTCAGAGTCACGTTCTCTGCGCTGCTTTGGTTCATTTAGATTATAAAGAGCATAGCTCTACTCACGGTAGCAAGACCGTAAGAGAACTTTTGGTAAGAATGCACGTGCGAGAGAGAGAGAGGGCAGAGATCTCTTAGGGATCCCAGGGCAAGAGGGTCATTAGAACCTGGCCTCAGTGGAACCTCAGGGTGATTAAGGCCAGGTCTCCCATCTGGGCACCTTTCGTAGGCTGTGCATTCTCGCTCTTCGCTGTCTCCATTTCATTTGCTCCACGTTCTCCTTTCTCCGCCGACTCACTTCCTTTTCGTATTTGTGGTTTCTCCTTCCTCATGGCATTAGCACACACAGGGCTTCCACTGACTGCTTTCCCCGCTCCACACAGCATCTTCTCAGCGGGTGCCTCTGTGGTAACTGGCTTATCACCTCTAAGGACTCCGTCATGCTAGTGGGAGAAGGGTCCTGACTGGCTAGCTCCACTTTTGGTACCAGGTCATAGGGCCCAGGTTGCCAAACTCATTGGCTGCACGTCCTTTAAGTGTATTCCCCTCATCCAGTCAGATGTGGCCCTGGGAATGAAGCAGGCTCAAAATATGGCTGCCTAGAGAGGATGTTGCAAACTCAAAGACAAAGGCAGGTTATGTAAGTGAGCAAATAAGTCTGGGTGAGAGAGGCAGATACACTTTCGCGTGTTCGGCACAGGGCAGAGGTGAGTGTTTTCTAAAAACATAAATTCTTGAGTATGAGGGCCTAGGTTTGAATCTCAGTCTCACCATTTATTAACTGGATAATTTAGTCCAAATTGTTTAATCTCTGTATACCTCAGTTTCCTCTCTGTAGGGTGGTTATAAGGATTAAGTGAGTTAGTAAAATGCTTAAAATTGTGCTTGACACATAATAAATAATGTTAGCTGTTTTTTAAGAAGATTTTTATTAGTATTAGCATGTTCATCATCATTTGGTTCCACAATGAAATGAGCTTTCTCTCATTTTTCTTAAAACATGAAGCTACTTTCCTAGTTTTCTCCTTTTTATAAAGTCACAAGCACAAAGAAACATTCCTCTACTATGAGGACATCAACAGAGCAAGAAAAATGATGAATGACAACTGGCACTTTCTTCATTGTTTGGTCTGCATTAGAGCATGGCAGAGACCTTGGCGAATAGATGCTTGGGTCCTGTCTAAAGGACAGAGCCTCACCCAAGTGGAGCAGATTACTATGATGTGAGAAGGAGGCCCAGAGCTGTCAGATGGCCTGATATATCTGTCTGTCTGTCTGCATATGTCTTTACAATAAGCTCAAATTATGTTTGAAATCTTATGCTACTCAATAACACACATCTTCAGGTTGATACATACAGCCCTGGGGCCAGTGACGTTTGTCCGCAGGCTGCTGCTTCAGGAAGACAATGTGTGTAGGGCTGGTCTCTCAGAAGAGGCTGCAAGTGGACCTTCTTGTATAGATGAATTAGAAAATTGTACTTAATGAAAGATAACACCGTGAAGCCCCTCTCAATGACAGCAGTATGATACAAGGAAAAATAAATCCCGATCCTTGGAGTTAGCTTACTGTGTCTTTCCAAGTAAAGGCATCTGTCTTTGAATTTATTTTCTTAGAACAAATGAAAATGGTAACTTTTTTTTTAGTTTAGATATGTAGGTCCACTAATGTTGCAACTGCCTTTTCTAGAAGCGCCCCTTCCTGTCAAAGGTCACACCTGCCCCCTGCTCTGAGTCTTATTTAATTCCCACTCACCCCTACATGTCCAAAACTGGGCTCTGTACTTTCTACCCCAAACTGTTACTCTCCACAGGCTTCCTCATCTCTACCCAGGAGTTCGTACTAGAAACTGAGCAATAGCAGTCAAACCCAGTTTTGCTTTCTGTCACAGTCTCCCCCTATCTGTCTCCACCCCCCGCCCCCCCCCACACACACACAACATCAGTGTGTCCTGTTTATTTTCTACACAGCAGCTGGGGTTGTCTTTTAGAAATATGACTTAGCACAGCACGCTCATCCTGTTCGAAATCCTCCAATTATTTCTCATTTAACTTACAATGCATCAAGCTCAGGATCCTGGCCTACGATGTGGCTACAGCACCTGACCCCAACCATGCCTCTCCCTGAACCTGCTTCCTGCGATGTGGCACACTGATGACTCCCTCAGTTTTGAGTGCACCAGGCTTATTCCTGCTCTGCTTTCTCTGCCCTGTTTGTTCTCCTTCCTGGAACGCAGTTTTCTCCAAAAGTTTCTTCAGAAAGACCTCTCCCTTCCTTCTGTCTGAGACTGGTCAGAGCAAGAACCTCATTTGTCTTGTGCTTGTCACAGAGTCATAGTTGCTAAGTGGATGAATGGCTGAACTGTGGTCATTAGGAGCGGGGAGGGAGGATGAGAAAAGTGTTTGGAAAAAAATAATATATTCACTAAAGTTCTTATTTAAGAAGGCAGGAAGGATAAAAGCAAACTTGCTGTGGAATAATGAGATTTTCTATATCACTAATACTGTTGATTTGCCCAATATGCAAATGATCCAGTATGTGAGAGGGAATTTACTTGGGCCTGATGTGGCTGTAGACGTTGGTACTTAAACATTCCATCTTGAGTATTCTCATTAAAGGTAATAGCAGAAAATTGCAGCAAAGATTGCCCCAGTTTTTAGATGGTGATCCCCCCTTTAGAGCCGTTAATTTGTTTAGTTAATGCTCGTTTACTTAATACACTTCTACTTTTTGTTGTTTTTTAGGTCTGTTGCCGCAGTTATTGGGAGTTGCCCCAGAGAAGGCCATAAAACTTACAGTAAGTCTTTTGAGTTGTTGCTTTTTATTACAGGAGTTTGCACATACTCAAGAATCCAGAAGATATTCTTATGTGAAATAGCAGGTCTGTGCTCCTCAGAGGTGCTAACTGATTTGAACATAGGGCACTCACCACACAAAGCTTTCATTTTCTCTCATTTAACACTGAACATCCAAAAATGTGATAATGTATTCGAACAAGACTTCTAATGGTTGCCAACACCACTATCATCATCGTTGTTGTAATAGAGACAGCAGCAGCAGCTAAATTTCCTTCAGTACCTACCATGTTGGGTACTTTACATATATTATTTATTATTGTTTTAATCTCAAGTAAAATATGACTCACAATTTACAGATGAAGAAAGCAAGACCCACAGAGTTTAAGTATTAACCTGTGTCCACATCATTTATGAGTAGGAAAACTAGATTGCAAAATCAGGTTTTGCTGACTCCAAAGCATGCCCTCATTCAATTACACATGCTGTTTACAGAATTCATGCTTAGGGTATATTCTTATGAGCATTTGCCAAAGCCACACGTTGAGGGATCGGAGCTCTAGCTGAAGCTGATCCTTCATCAGGTTGTTTCTCCAGTGCCTGGCTCCCATCTGGCAGATGGTGGGTACTCAGTAAGTGTTTATGAAACGGCTAGATAGTGCATTTCCATCACCAAGGACATAAAGCCCAGAAGGTTAAATTCTACTTTTAGATTGGGCTATATAGCCTTGCTACCTGGAATTCTTCCCTTACCATCTTATTATATTACCTTGGCACAACTAATATTTTCTGGCTTATATCTTCCAAAAACATATGATTGATCCTCAAAATTGCTTGCAGTACATACCATTTTGAGAATATTATACTTAATTAATTAATGTTATTGATGTTCTTTGAGAATCCTTGAGAAAATTTTTAGATACTGAATTTCAACTAAGTTGAAAAATATGCTTAGCCAAATTTGTCTCAATGATGAGTGTTATTTTAGATTACATCTTGTTAGAAAACTTGAAAGTGATTTTTAATCAAAACCTATGAGACAGTTTCTAAGTTATAAAATATATGTTTTCATTTTGTCTCTATTGTTAATATGTCTCTCTTTTTATGCTATTGTCATTGCAGGACATATTGAATTTTAGGCTTGTAAACTATCTTTTAATTTTTTCCCTCTGAAATATCAGGAATATAAATGTATAAATATATATATATATTTGTAAACTTTTAAAAACCATGCCCACTATTAAGAGCACTTCTCAAACTCTTTTAAGATCCTTTATTTAGTTTATGATTATTAAACTGACAGAAAAAATAACATATTTATAGATGCGTATTTATATGCATTTAACGACTTTCTTTATATTTTTCATCAGCTTCTAAATATTTTTCTTCAAGGTGAATGATTTTGTGAGGGATAAATTTATGCACAAAGATGGTTCGGTTCCACTTGCAGCAGAAATTCTTGCTGGAGGCTGTGTAAGTACGTTTTTCAGATCTCTGCATTGAAAAGACTAGTTTCACATACTTATCACCACCGTGGTAAACAAGTGTGAACTAAGGCTTCTGTTCAACCACAGATCCTGTGCAAGGGGAGAGTCTACTAGGGCACCTCAGCTTTTCCTAGACAGGCGAACCATCCCTGAGGTGGAAGGGTAATGTTTCCAATCTTATTGCCTGTTAAGCCATGCCTGTTAAATTTGTCATTGCTTGCTATTGGTTCTGCAGTAGAATGTCATTTGTGGCAGAAGTGTTTGGCCTTTGAAAAATCTTTGCTAACCTTTTCTAGAGTTAATTTTTAGTACATTCTTTTTTCATGGCACTCTCTGCTGGGTCAGGCACTAAAATCTATAGTTTGAAGTCAGCAGCCACAGCTCTCTGCTTTGCTTTACTTCGCAAACGCCAGCAGCTCTTCAAGCTTCCCAGTGCTTCTGGGAAAAGGATTCTGGGAAATAACTGGCTGAGTGCACTCTGCATTGTCAAAAACGCTTGGAATGAGTATTTCTTTATATGAATGAACAACCTGCATCTTGTTCTTAAGCTCAGCAAAACATGTCTTGTTTTACCTCATGTACAGGTTTATTCATGTGAATGTAAATACTTTAAACTTTTATACAAAGAGTGGTGCTATTTCAAGATAAGTTTGGTTCAATAAATGGGCTTCGGTCACTAGGGCAATACAATATTGGTATATTTTCCATACAAACCTGTGTTTCTTATAAGAAAGATGAGATCACTTTTTTTTTTAAATTAGTTTGTTTTATTCAGGCAGTGGTATTCATAAAATAATCTTTTCTTGAAAACCATTGCATTTAGAAGCTGAGAATATTAAACTTTTGTTTGGAAAGGGCTTATTGTCCTAACACTGAATAAGGGTTCCTTGAATGTAGCGGGAGTTAAGAAGTCCTAGCTCCTAGTAATTCTTAAAGATGGGTGGAATTGGGCTACTGCCTGCCTCTCTTTCTGTTTGATCACTGACCTGTCATAGACAGCCAAGTAGAATCCCTTTGTCCTGTAACTTTAGGAGCATTCAAGACAAAAAAGAGAGGCTTTAATGTCCTAAATAAAAAGGACACACAGTAATAATCAAAAAGAACAATATGAGTTGCAGAAACTGCTCTTCATGTAAAACAACTACAGTTTTCGTTTGAGAAACCAGATTTCTGATTTTAAACAGGCACATCCATAGGGTGTATCTAACCTGTCCTGCAGGCTCCTCTAGGAGCCGGAGATAGCAGGGCATTTTCAGCAGGTCAGGTGGGTTTTGTTTTTTTTTTTAAATCAGGTTTTAAACGTGCTAAAAAACATGATTATATATCTCTGTAAGAATTTAAAATGTGAAATTAATTATCTGATACTGTTCAAGATTTTGGCAATAAACTTGAGGTTTATTTTCTTCTTAATGAAAGCATTTTGCCTGCATATGGGTCTGAGTGCCAAGGAGATCCGTTGTGGCATGTATTGTCTACCGTAGGTGGTCCTGTTTCCTCATATGTGGTTGCCCATTTCAAACACAAAGCCCACGTTGGCATCAGAAGTGGTGCCTAGTTATTGTAAAGAGGTGCAGTCCTTTTTCAAACCTGATCTAAACACAGGCTTAAAACTGGAGCCACTTGGGCTTTACAGCTACTTAAAATATCTGTGAAGTGAGGTTTGCCATCCTTCATCTCAAAGGCTGGTAGACAGTGGTCCTCAGTGTTTCTAGTCTCCTGTTTTGCCTTTTTTCTTTTTTTTTCTTTTTCAGTCGTGACTTTAAGAAGTAAGAGTTTATTTTTCAGGTAAGCAATCCTGTAGGTGGCAAACAATCCAGGCCCCTTTAGATCTCTTGAGTGGTGCAATGGACGAGTCCATTTTCATTGTATGTTTTTTAATAGTAGCAGCATCTCTCCTTGTAGGCCTTGGCAGAGTTTTCCCCATCATCTGAGCCAGTCCCACACCTCACAAAGTCCTTGTGAGTTCCACAGCCTTGTCTGTTCAATTGGGAATAAAAAGGGTTTTGAAAAGTTGTGTCACATGAGCAGTTCTCCTCCTTAGTTCACCCAAGCATTTCCAGGCGTTGACTTTTAAGTCCCTGGGGAGCTCACCTTACTTCATTATTATTGAGAATTAGTACACATAGCTGACTTTCGCACTTGTAATCAAAGCTGCTCATTTCTTTGAAGAAGGCTTTTTCTGTTTTATAATCTGTTTTCTACAAAAATAGAAAATATTCAGGACGGTCTTTGTTTCATAATCTTCACAGTGCTTAAGCTAAACTAATAGTCTCTTTTATCTTATAATTTTTTTAGAAAAACACCAAATATGACAGTAAATTTGGAGGAAGGTTTTGGAAAACAGGAAATAAATTAATCCCATTTATTACTTTATTTTTTATACAAGAAACTCTAACTGAAGAGATTAAAAATACTCTTATTTCATTAACATCTGTAAAAGGGTATATCTAACTATTTTTGAACTCATTTTTTACACATTTTGTTTTAAATTAGAGTACTGTGAAAAATTCAACTTCAGTTTTCTGAACATTTTTATAGATTCATACCTAACAGTAGTGATATATTCAGCACAGTTCAAGACTAAACTAGGTACTGAGACTGGGGTTTACAAATTCTAAGTCTGAAAGGTTCTTGTGGAGTGTGTTTTTTTCTGTAAGATGGTTTTCTACTTTCTAAATTAGGCTGGAAGTTGTAAGAGTGTTGACAGAGACCTGGACCCTCAGGTATCTCTGCACAAAATATACATACCTTCTGTTCCTTTCCATCCTTCCCCTTCTTTGGTCAGGAGCTCAGCCACTGCAGGGAGACGTGATGGGCAATCACTGTCAGTGACAGCACAGGCTCTTGGCAATGAGGCAGAGGAGAGAAGGCCTGTCACCATTACTCACTTCCAATTAGGTTCCCAGTGACTTTAAAAACTGACACATTATCTCTGAATATATTGCTGTTATTGCTGTTATTACTGTATTGCTGTTACTTTAAGAAAAAATAGCACGTAATGCCAACTGGCCTGTGAGTCACAGTCCCCTAATTCAACAAAGTAAGTGTGTGTTGACTGTCTTCCATGGATCTAGTGGAATAGTTTGAGCTAGGATCTTTAGTTTGTGATCCTTTGATCTTAAGATCATCAGATAAGGAAGTAAAACTGGTGCCATGACTAGATTCAAGGAAGATATAAATATGATAATTTATGTGGCGTGAAAATCTACATTGAAATGAAAAGAAATGAAATAATACTCACCAGAAAAAAAGTATGAACCTCTGTCTTTTAAAGCCCATATTATTAAAAAATACTTTCATACTGATAAAATATAATAGTATTCTATAGTAATTTGGAAAGATAAGTGAACATGCTTTTTTACAGTAGTCCTTTGATAATAGTCCCACTATATGTTTTCTTTGAGATATATATGCACATTTATGTGTATGTAAATACATCTGATGTTTATTCGAGTTTATATCCATTTTAAGTGGGGAAAATAATTGATATCCTCACGTCCCTGGTGCTGAAAGGGATTGGTGAGAATATCACCATTGGGAAAAACATGGCTTGAAGAGCAATCGTAATTGCTCTCATCTGCAGATAAGTTCGACCCTAATATTGTTCCGTATATTTCTGTTATTATGGTAATTCCCACATGCATGATATCTTTATGCCTGTTTGTACAGCCGTGTATCAGATACCATTTTTAAGGCACAATTTTATTACCCCTTTTTTGCATCATTTTCAGCTGCAGTTAATTTTTATGATTTTGAAAAACAAAAAGATACAACTACCCATGTTACCACTTAGCTTATAATATCAAATGACAAATGCAGGTGGAGGCCCTCACATAACTGTCCCAATACTTTTCTCTCCCTCATCTCCCAAGAGATAACCCTATCCCGAAATTGTTGTTTTTCATTTCCGTGCATATCTTTATACTTTTTATTACATCCGAGTATGTCCCTAAGCAGTATAAATGTTTGCTTTCGAGTGAGCCAGTGCTATAGAAACAACTCAGAGGATTCTCACATTGATAACTTTGCATTTTTTTGCATTAGTGCAACTCATATGCTTTACTTGTTAGAATAGTAAATGGGAATATTATGTTCAAATGTTGTAATCTGGCATACAGTGAGTATGTCTGTTATAGATGTGTGGATTTATAAAATTTTATATAAATACAGTTAGAACTGTGTATTTATTTAACTAAGTTTTTTGTAACTTTGAAATTTCTTCCCTAGACTAAAGTTATTTCTTCAGCCTTACCATTTAAACTTGTGCCCAGTACTGAATAGATTTAACATTGTAACCCTCCCTACTGCCAGCACACATGCTTCCCATCTGCCTTACTGTCCCCGCTTCTCTCTTTCTTCCTAATGGAAGTGATTTCAGTGTTTCTCCATCACTGAGGAGGAGAGCTGTTCTGATTATGTATTGGTGTATAACAAGTCTTCTTAAAATTTACTGGCTTCAAACAGCAATTTATTATCTCTCATGGTTCTGCGAGTTGACTGGTTCAGCTGGACACTTTTCACTTGTGATCTCCCTGTGGTTATTAGCAGATCGGAGCTGGGGCTCGAGTCATGTGAAGGCTCCACTGAGATGGATATCTGAGATAGCTCGCAATTGTGGCTGGCAGTGATGCTCACCCTTGGCTTGGAGCAGCTGGGACTGATGTCCACAGCACCTCTTGTGACTTCTCTGTGTACCTTGGGCTTTTCAAACCTTGGCAGCTTAATTCTAAGTGAGAGCTTCTCAAAAGCAGATATTCTAAGACTCCTGGGAATAAGCTGCAAGATTTCTTGTGATCTAACTTTGAATATCACTTCTGCTGGATTCTGTTAGTCAAATAAGCTACTTACACCATTCCAGATTCAAGAGGAGAGAAGTTGTACTCTACCTCTCAATAAGAATATTGTCAAGGAACCTACCTCTGGGAGGTTCAGTAAGCTGGGTTGCAGGACAGGCACATTCTTGCTGCCCTCAACTTTGAAGATTTC